TGAAAATGTCCCAAATATTCCAAGCCTCCATGATTCTACAAACCTTCAAGATTTTATTTTGACTTTTTATAATAAACTAATTACACCCATGTTCACATCTCTCTTGTTTCTCAGTTCTTCCATGTTTTTCCTCCATCTTGGTCTTTCTAAATTAGTGAACCTTTGCCTCAACCCATAATAACACATAATTTGAATTCAATCTCACCTCTATACTTTTTTTTTTGCTTAACTGCATTTAAGAAGTAGTTTTGAAGGCTCTTTCGATCACCCAATAGCCCTAAAGAAAAGTTCAATAGCTTACTTACTAGATTGTATATTGATATATAAAGAAACAAAGAAACTAACCCATGATACAATGGAAGGACTCCATGATACAAGTCCACCTTTTTTCCTAACAAAAACTTATGATGTTATTGATGATTTAAGCACCAATCATATCATATCTTGGAGTAAATGCAACAATAGTTTCATTGTATGGTATCCCCGAGCATTTTCCATAAGCTTTTTGCTTAGATACTGTAAGCACAACAATAGTTTCATTATTTAAGGCATTTTCAACCAAAAAAAGCTTAAATAATCCTATTATATATTTTTAAAAGGGATTATTTAAGGCATTTTCTAAAAAAAAAATGACTTAAATAATATGCATTAATAAATGTTAAGGTATTTATTATTAATAAAAACTAATGAAAAGTTATCATCATTTATGTTAAAGAGATTATGGTAATTATTTAGGAATTAATATACGTGAATTCTCCCTAACCAAATGAGTGAATTTGAATACGAGATGTCTTGAAAATGGGAAAAAACCTCAGGTATCACATTTTTTTGGGGATCACACTTTTCCCTGAAATCCAAGATTTCATGAACCAAATGCCTCCTATTTGCATTTCGATAAATAAAAGTAGGTCTGAGAGTTATGTTACATTGGGAAGAAATGGTGGAGTTTGAAAAAAAAAAAAGATAGTGTGCAAGGTATGAATGAGCCATTCCAACAAAAGCTAAAAAACAACTTTAAACTAAAAAGGAAAGAATGCTTGGTTTCAATACATACTATTTGGGAAAAGAAAAGATGAAAGTTGTAAAGAAAGACAGAAGAATTTAAGTTTGGAGGTGTATATGTTCTCTTGAAAGTTCTCATCGTAGTGAAAAATTCAAAGTAATGCATTTGTATGGGATTATGAGCCTAATTTTTTTATCATACCATAACGCTAGCCTTACATTATAAGTTTAATAAAGATATATTGATCTTTGGTAAAGTGTGTAAGTCTGCATTAGTGGAAAGAGAATATGAAAAGCTGACTTATGAAATATTGATCATGCTTTGAGGTGATTTGTTAATTTTAAGTTTGCATAACTTTATTGAATATCTTACATTGATATGAGATAGACTATTCACACACACACGAAAATTATAATTGAAAGAGAGCTTATTCATGAGTGAGTCATGTGTTTAATCTATACTTATGACTTTCTCTAAGTTATAATCATCATTCAATTTTTTAAGAACTTATGAGAATCTGATATTAGAAGCATGTAATATGTATCTAGCATATTATTTTGATTTTAGCAAAGCTTTATTTTGCTTGAGGACAAGCAAAAGTTCAAGTTTGAGGGTTTGATAAATCTATGAAATATAGTTGTTTTCAGTGCTTTAATGAGTTAGCAAGTTCTTGGCTAAATAATGTTGTTTTGTAAGAAATATTGAAGAAATGATTGAATCTCGAAAGTTCTTATTTAATATTGATCAATTTTTGATATATTTGGAATAATCTTGTATGGTTCTTGTTATGTTTTTGATAATTCTTGGAATTCTTGGAAATCTTGGAAATTTTAGAGTTGAGATGTTGAGTTTATGCAAGACTAATATTACCAAACTTATGGAAGTTAGAATTGATTAAAATCTTGATAAAAAATGAGTGAAATTCATGTAAGACTTGTGTAAAGTAGATTTGGCCATTATAAAGACAATTGTGTAATTTTAACTTGAATATAAGTCCATGGTAGCTTACTTAGGCATGCATGCTTGGGATAACTAATGGATGACATGGTAACAAGTCCAATCTCATTGGCCAAGAGAGATTACTTGGATTCTTATGTGGCATGATGACTTGGCAATTTTGTCCATGCTTAGGAAAGTTCAAATCACCCTAAGTTTTCTTATTTCGAGAATGTTTTTCTATTTTGACTTGATTTTCCCATTTTGACTTGAAATTCCTACCTTGATTAAAAAATGCACTTGGTTAAGCTACAGACACCAATTTTGACTATTGTAATTTTTCTTATATTAATATTAATATTAATATTATTAATTAATTAATTAAAAAAAAGAAAAAAAGTCAAAAAAATCTTTTGGTTTTAACTTTGACAGTTGAAATCAAGCTACCAGAATGACTTTTTTTCTCTCTGACATTGCCTAACTTGGTAGCCTGAAATTTGGTGACCAAAAATGATCAGACAGGATCCAAATTTGCCAAAAGAGATCACAAGAGACCTAGGATTTGAATCCCAGAAGCTCTATAAATAGAGCCAATTTTTGCAAATCAGGAGAAAGACCAAGGGGAAAAATCTAGGGGTTCTATAAAAACAAACAAATCACAGTCCTCTTTAAAGAACCAGTAGCAAACAAAAAAGATCCCTAATAATAAGATTTGAGATATAGGAAGTTTGAGATTTTTTTTGAAAAATTTGGGTTTGAGGGAGTGTTCAGAAAGTAAAAAAGAGCAATTTGGGATTTTTTGGAATTCTTTTGAAAATTTTTTCAGTCTCTAAAATTTGTAAAATTTTGAATTTTCCAGCAACCTCTTGAATTTTTCAGCGACTGAAATCTGGGTTCATCATTGGAATATGAAAATTTTGAAATTTTCAACGACCGCTTGAATTTTTCGGTGACTGAAATGTAGGCTTATCGTTAGAATCTGGAAATTTTTTTAATTTTTTGATGCTGGTTGAAGTTTTTGGTCATCGGTGCATGGTGGCAACTGGCTAGAAATTAGGCTCCATGATGGCTGGCATAGGAGTTGGGTTTTTTAGAGAGAGGAACTATGGGTAGAACGAGAGGGGAAAGGAGAAAATAAAGAAAAAGCTGATTTTGGCTTATTTAGAGGCACTTCAAAATGATGTCGTTTTGGGCATCCGAACCGAGTCCAACCTGCCTAGGATCCATGTGTCAACCATATGCCAACTCGACCTGTTTCGCAGGTTTTCTCTTTTCTTTTTCTTTTTGTTTTCTATTTTGATTTTGATTTTGATTTATTTTATGATTTTTATGTTATTTTTTATGATATTATTGTTATTATTATTCTTTTATTTTATATTATTATTAACAATAATTTTTTAGAAATAAATAAATAAAATTAAAAACAAAATTAAAATAAAATAAAGACCTAAAAAATATAATATGCAAAAAAAAAACTAACTATTTAAGGAAAATAAAATTTTATTACAAGCAAAAATGTTATTTAAATTTCACCAAAGTGTTAGGATAATTTAAAAGAAAATTTTTGCTAAAAGAATAATAATTATAAAAAAATGATAAATAAAATAAATTATTTAATTGAATTTTTCAACTGTAATTTTTAAAGAAAGCTGAAAATGTTTAGTTTTCTTTAATTATTACAAATAAAAATAATATTTCAGATTTCACCATAGAGTTGAGATAATCCAAAATTATTTTTACTAAAATAAAGATTGATCTAGACAATGTAAAACAATAATAAAAATGAAAATGAAAAATAATAATAATTGATATTTTGAATATTTAAAAAAATTAAAAAATTAAAAGAGTTCGATTTTCTTTAATACAAGCAAGATATAAATATTTAGATTTTTCCTATGAGTCGAGATAATCTAAATTTTATAATAAAAATAGTTAATAAATAATTGATAAATAATAAAAAGTTTCTTTAAAAAAAATCATAATAAAGATTAATTAATTAATTAATTTCTTTAACTATAAAAAAATTATTTTTATTTAGGATCTTGTCCAAAATTGAGATAATCTTAAAACTTGTTCAAAATTTTAAGATTTCACCGAAGAGTCGAGATAATCTTAAAACTTGTTTAATAAATTTTGGGAACTCACCAAAGTGTCAAATGTTCCTAAAATCCTTTTTAAAACAAATAAATAAAATATGTTATGATGAGGAGAATTTTGTGAATTATCAATTTTCTCAAAATATTTTCTATATAGTGATTTTTTATAAATTCTACCAAAGCGTTGAAAAAAAATACGAATCAAAAGTGTATAGAAACATTTATCAAAATAGAGTTTCAAGCATTATAAAAAGCATTAGGGTACTATACTAAGCATGCAAAACTTGAAAGATTTGACATTTGAAAGAGTCGTAAAATGAAATCTAAAAAAAAACTCAAGTGATCATTCAACATGAATTTATTTGTTTAAAGGTTGATTATAATGCCAAAAAGTATCATGAAAGGGAAAATCAAGCGCCACGGATTAGAAACAAGTGGTATGCAAAGGCATAATTTATGTGTCTAGGAGTTAATGACAAATGGTTAATTTTTAGATTTATAATAGACAACCCTTATGAGCTTGCTACTCTAACAATTGCTAAATTTTTATATGCTCACAGCAAAAAATTAAAGTTCAACAAAATAATTGATGGTGTTTTTCCTAATCTTTCAAAATGGGTTCCAATTGAAATATAAAAGCTACAAAGAAGAAAATAATATTCTTTTCAATAAATATTGATATTCATATCAAGAAGAGACAAATTATTTCTTACAAACTTCTCATGCATTGCATGCAGGAAGAACTAAGCTTTGTTAAAAAGTATAACCATAAATCCTAACACATATTTATCATTTATAAAAATCTCTTAAATAAAATAATGCACCGTAAATAGCCAATTGTTGTTTTTTGTAAAGATATATAATTAAAGTTTACTACTTGAGTTTTCTATGTTAAAATTGCATTAGTGCCCTTTTACTATAATAGTGCCACCACTTCCACCATTTCCATCTCCACTAATTCCTTCTCATACACCTCTATCAAAACCTTTTCCTCCATCTTTGCCAATAGCTCCAACTTCATCACCATTTGTACCAATAGTAGCATCATTGCCTCCTCTGCCAATACCTCTTTCCCCTACTCCACCTCCATCACCAACTCCACCACCAATACTAGTGTTGCCACTTTTAACACTATTTTCATCAATTGCTCCTCGTCCTTTTCCTACTTCACCTCTAAAACTAGCTTTAATACCATTTCTACTAGTAGCACCAATGTTACCACCTCCACCATTTGCACTTATAGTAGCACTTCCAACACCACCTCCATCAAGCCCACCTACTCTTTTTCCACTTCCAGCACCAGTTGCACTAGTAATGCCATTGTTGGCACTTCCACCAAGTTGCCCTCGCACTCCTCTTTTTTCTACACCTCCAACATTAGCTCCACCACTATTTTGAAAAGTAGCACTAATGCTACCACTTCCACAAAGATTACCACCACTTTTTAATCTGCCTTGTACTCCACTTGTTAGGCCTTCACCACCACCTAATCCACCTTGCCCACCACCAACATGGGACCCTAACCACCATCAACATTGAGGTGATGTAAACTAGTAGCAGCATCTAAATCACCCAAACCAGCAGCAATCCCTAAACCACGATGTAAAGCATGCATGGCAGGCAGTCCAGATCCAGTTGTTAAAGATCTTCTAAGTCTTTTACCTTCAATCTTGGCGTTAGGCAAAAATGAACTATAAAACACATGGTTGTCAACTTTATTGACATTATGATCATCAGCAATTGCAATACCATCCGCAAAAAGAACACACATGAAAGCAACAACAAAAGAATGAGCAAAAACACCCATCATTATCTAAAAGCTTAAGCAAAAGTTAACTCATAATAGTTGAATTGTAATGTCAAACAAAATAAGAAATTTTGAATATTGCTTTAATCTTTTAGATATTTTGTCTTTTCCCTTTTTTTTTCTTGTTTGTTATTTTTATCAAGAAATGAAATATTTATAGAAAGGGGTTAGATTTACATAGAAACTAAAATAAAAGGCCAAGCTTAAAGCATGAGAGTAAAAATTGTTGCACCATTCTCTTAAAAATAGAAACCATGTTATAAAACCATTCAACTTGTTAATAGAATTTCTTCCATATTTCCTTTCTTCAACCAATAACCGAACAAACAATACCTTTTTTTCATTATTCTTGATTTTGATTCTATCATGAAATTAATTAAAAAAATGTCTATTTTGCATGTAAAAAAAGTGTACATTGTTTAGATGGCTAATAAAACCAAGCCTCAACAATGACAAGTTAGACAAATTAAATTATTATCCAATTGTCGTCAGCACTTAGGTAGTAAATTGCAACTCATGGAATGAGCGATCAAGTGGTAAGTTAACCTAAGGACAATGATATAGACATTTCTAGTGATATATCAAACTAAAATGACTATATCAGTTACACTTTTCTTATGCCACCCATAGCTAATAATTGACCAGGGTCAAGGCCCTCTTCAAATTCAAAACTTGGGGGCACTATGGAACATATAAGGCATCTTAGTTCACTACTAACTATGAATAAGTTGGTGAGAAAGGAAAGAGGTGTGAATGAGCCTAGAATGGTGGCGAATTTAGATAAAAGGATGTCAATAATAAAGTTAGCAAATAATAAGTCTATGTTGTTAAGAAGACACACAAGGGATTTCAATCATAATTGTTGGTTGTTTTAGTCAAAAATAAGGATTGCATCAAAAATGCAATTTATAAAAGGATGATAAGGATTAATATATAGTATATGTTGGAGTTAAAATGTTGGATTTTATGGACAAGCCATAAAACACTCACTAGAAAGGTTAAGGTTTTGCCTAACATTTTTAGGCCTTATAGGAGCACAATATGAATTTTCATTTATGCATTTAAAAATTATTTCTAAATTGAATTTTTATGGCAAACATGTCATATTAAAAAATATGCATGGAGCCTTTTTTTAATTAAGGTATATCAATATCAAAATTGAGTTAACTCTATTTTTAAAGGGGGTAAAGTCCTGAATAAACTCAAATTCTGTTGAGTTAAGGTCTATATATGGCTATGTATAGTCAAAGCAATTATTCTATGCCATGTTAAAATCATGTCAACCTCTTACTATAGATATTGTATATAGCTATATATGACAGTTATGAATATAAATATACTAGTTGAGGTTTTTTTTTTTTTTTATAGCTATATATGATAATTAAGAATATAAATATATGAGTTGAGGTTTCTTTCTACGCTATTATCTATTAAAAGAATCTCAAAAGGCTTAAGAGGTTGATAATTGTCCAACATTGTACAATGACTTTTTTACTCATTAAATAATATAAATATTATAATGAACCCAATATTATAAAATGACTTTTTTACCCCTTGGTTTAAAGCTGAAAATACTAAAAAGAATATTCAAAACTTTGATGGTTGCTATTAGCTGACTATAAAAAGGCTATGTTGAAGAGTTTAGAAAACTAAGAGTTCAAATAGGTTTTACTCAAGAGCAAAAAATGAAAAAAAAAAAAGGAAAGAAAAGAAAAATAATGATGGAACCTCAAAATAAAAAATTATTATGTGTCAATAATACCAGATCCAAGAAAATTAAAAAATAAAGAGAAACACAATTGAAAAATATTATGTAGGGTTGAAACTAACATGCATACATACATTTAATTGAATAGAAAAATAAATAATCAAAACAAATTATAAAAACCTAAAAGAAAGAAAGCCACTATCTAAAGCGCCACCACCAAATAGAGAACCACTATTTTTTTAACCCAAAAAAACCCATACTTCCTTAAACCCAAGAAGCCATAATGGATTTATGAAATATAGTTATTTGGACTTATTTTTAGCGCTTAAATTATTGATTTATGTGTTGTTCTTGGCCAAATAAGCTTTTTTTTTTTCTCATAGTGTGCTTCATTTGTTGTTTTGTTGGAAATCTTGAAGAAAATATTGAATCATGTTAAATATTAAAGTTTTTTGGGAGTTCTTGATCAATCTCAGATGATTTTTGATACATTTAGATCAATCTTGGATGGTTCTTGATTTGTTTTTACTGATTCTTAGAGTTCTTAAAAAATCTTAGAGTTAACTAGTGAAATTATTCAAGATTTGTTTAGCTGAATCTCAAGACTTAAGATTGGATGAATCCTAATGGAAAATTCATGGAAGTCATGCAGGAATGAAGAATATATAAGTTTGGCTACATAGGGATAGATTTAAATTTTAGGGAATTGAGTACAAGATCATGGTGTTCTGTGTAGGTGTACATGCATAGGATCATTGTGGGATTACATGGTGAGAGATGACTTTGATGTTGATTTGGCAAGATGACATGGCATTGGAATTTAAATTGGTTTGGAGAGCATTAAACCAAAATTGGACTATTCTTATTCTAAATGGGAATTCAAAGTTTGAATATGAGAATTTTAAAATTTGAAATTTAAATATATTCCTAATTGAAGTAGAACTTGTAGGAAACTCTAAAAGATGGGGGCAAAATAGTAAGGCATTTAAATCCAAAATTTAAATTTTTTTCAAGAAGACTCCAACTTGAAGCTAAAATCCTAGAAGTCTACTCGATGCACAAAACCTACTTCAAGTTGAAGAATTGTTTCTAGAAAGCTACCAAGGGTTAAAAAGTAATTACAATTTATTCTTTTCATTTAAATAGCCCTAACTCTCCAAGATGAAGTTCTATGAGACCATTTCATGACCAAAAAGAATTTTTTCTTAAGCAGCTTAAAGAACAAGCAGCTGAAAAACTCAAAACTTTTAAAGCTGCTCAAAGTCAAGAAAAGAGGAGACTTAATCTTTAAGAAAACTATTCAAAGTCATGATTTGCTAAGCTACCTATAAAAGGTACTAGCCAAACCACACTTTTCCTCTTTCAAGGAAGGTTAAATCGTACATCATTTTTATCTTTGAAGATATAAGTTGACTAAGAAAATCCAAGTTTCAAAAGTATGAGACAATTCATCAAGATTTATCCAAGTCAACACATAATTTAGTCAAGATTTGATCTACATGCATTCATAAGAAAAAGATTAGCTTCAACAAAGTGAAGATTCAAGTCAAGAATAATTTTTCAGGTGACAATCCAAGCTTGGTTGAACCTAATGACTTTAAAAGATTGAGATCAAAGATTGTCGACCATTAGTCTAGGGTTTCTTTGTATTCTTGTTCTAAAAATAGTTAGCTTAGGCCTAAAGAAAAAGTATGGTTGGGGTGATAGCTCAATCTCTAATTATTTAGCTTTTTTTATTATTGTTTTTCTCTTGCAATCTTGTTTTAGTTCATAATTGGAGTGACAGACCAATCTTTCAATTTTATTAGATTTTGTCTTATTTTCTTTTAAGGTTTATATGTCTTTAAGATTTTCTCTAGTTTGATTTTAGTTTATGAAAGTTTGTTCTAGTTTTCAAGTTACTTTAAGTTCTATTTGTTTTCAATTCAGAAGATTTTTTATTCATGCTCTCATTCTCTACATCTATAATTTGTGATTCATTTTGGTTCTCATTTATGCAATATTTTACTATTTTCTCTTTAATTTGTTGTTTGTATGATTTAATTAATCAAGTTTAATTCAATTTGAATGTTCTTATAATTAATATGATTTGGTTTTAAACTTAAGTGTTGGTTAGAGTTTAAATCACTTTAAATAGATTAGTTACATGTTTTAGGGTTAATTGGATTTTAATTAAGTTTAATTCAATCAAGTTAGGTTTAATTCATCTTAAGTTTTTTGATTGCATGTTTTTATTCTATTTTGCTTAATTGAGTTGAAATCAAGTTTAATTCATTGTAATTACATGTTTTAGGATTTAATTAATTTAATTTGTTTTTTCTTGTTGCGATTTCAGTTTAATACTTTTGTTTATGATTATTGCATATACATTTAGTTAAATTGCATGAGTTTAAGTTTAATTGGTTTAAGTTACAACTAGTTCTAATTCAATTCATCTAGATAATTTGATTTAAGGCATTGTTTGCTTTGCATGTTCAATTTAGTTTTATTGGCATTATTTTAAGTTTGATTTGTTTTAATTACACTTGGATTACCTTAATTCTTGTAGTTTAATTCGATTCTTATTTACTTTCTTATGTTTGCATGTTGAATTGTTTACTTAGGTTATGTCATTAGCTAATTCATAAATTTTAGTTCTTGATTTCAATTAAAGTATATAATGTGCATGTTTAGGTTGCTGTTTACATTGGATTAAGGCTAATTGCATTCTTAATAGTTATTCTTGCATTTTAAATGTTAATTTGCATTATTTTCTTCTGTTTTGATTAGTTTGAGTAGTTTGAGTAGTATTTGCATATTAACTGAGTTCTACAATTATAAACAAAGATGGGACAATTTTAGTACTTGAATCACTTTTTATAATCTGAGTGGGAATGATCTTTACTCACTAGTTCAATCTATGCATTTATAGAAAATCAATCAAGTTTTTCATGACGTTGCTAGGATTAGTGCAACTAATTTAATATTGATACCAATCATTATTTTTGTAGTATGGAGTTTTTTTTTTTAATCTTGTTTGATCTATTTTGTTTTGCATGCAAGAGTTAAGAGTTCTACTTTACTACCTTTAGATATTGAAATTGAAAAAACTCTTAAAAAAATCAAAAAAAGGAAAAAGCAAGGGACTTTTAATCCACACATGGTTAAACAATAATAAAATAACAAGCGCTTCAGGACTATGTCATCCCATAATTAGATGGCTTTTAACCTAGCATTAGGAGGTTGGCCATTTAGGCTGAAAACTTTGAATTGAAGTTATGCATTATAAATATGATTCAAAACTCTCTGGCAA